TAATATTATGCTGACAACAAAAACTAGATGACCCCTCAAATTTGCTGCCATATTTCTGCTGACCCCCCTCTTGAGTCCTCTGAATTTATCGTGACCCCCTCCCAATTCTTGCCAGCCCCCTCCCTGGCATAAATAATGAATGGTCCCTTACCATGAATTATATTAGTTTAAGTTAGATTACAGTGTAGGGCCCTATACTGTGCATTACTGTGCTATACTATAGGTATGTTACTCACCAGGCTGCTGTTGTGTAGCTTCATCTCCTGGAGAAAAAAAAAATTAATGGATTATATTAGATATGGTGAAGTTAGACTAGTCTCTGCAGTGCTTTACTGTGCTCTACTATATAGTTATGTTACCCACCATGCTGCTGTTGTGTAGATTCATCTGCTGAAGAAAAAAATTATTATGAATTATATCAGTTTAATTTAAATTACAGTGTAGGGCCCTATACTGTGCTCTACTGTGCTATATTACAATAGGTATGTTACTCACCAGTCTGCTGTTGTGTAGATTCATCTCCTGGGGGGGAAAAGGATTGTATTAGGCCTAGGGCGAACGTCGAACTTTCTWWGCACCGAACTTAATTACATCAAAGAACGCCGCCTCATTATCACCTGGTATCCATTGTTTTTAGTGACTTCAGTGCATGGAAAGTTCGACGTTTGCCCTAGGCCTTAGGTAAGGTTAAGTTAGATTAGGATATACTCTGCTCTACGGTGCTATACTACTGTATAGTTATGTTACCCATCAGGTTGCTGTTGTATAGGTTCATCTGCTGGGGGAAAAAATGGATTTAATACCTTGATTTGCACTTGGTACTACAACAAAAAGTACATACTAATGGGAGTGCAATACTTTAATAGCATTAATAGGATTCAAATTGTGTTGAGAAATAAATAAAATTATTAATAAATTTATCATTCTTTGTTTGATTCCTTCAGATGCTTTATCTTTTATGGGTATTATAGTTTGTTAACTTCTTGATTTGCTTTGGAATTTTTGCCTACATGAACAAAGAAAGGTGAAGGTTAGTATAACTTAAAAATAGGGTGGATACTCCACCAGGATTTGGATAGGAGTGTTCAGCTAGGATCCTACAACGTTCACCCTGTTTATGACAGAAAAATCCAATTCATATAACGTTTTTATATCACACATTTTGCATTGCCTCATACTTAGGAAAGCGCTATAATAATAATAATAATAATAATAATAATAATAATAATAATAATAATGTCTTTATTAAAGAAATGATAAAATACATATCATTAACATGATTATAATCATAAAACTAAAA